CAAGTAGTAATCAACATCTCAGGTGGTACCCCCAATGTAATCAAGGTCTCAGGTGGTAACCCAACATAATACTCGTCATAGCTGGTGCCCAAACAGGGGCTCCAACATAACCAATGTCACAGCTGGTGACCCTGTGTCAGGAAACCCAAGGTGTAAAAAACTCAGTGCTCCAAAAGGACTCATATTTCTTGATTTGAAAACTTACTACAAACTAAAGTAATCAAAACAGTGTGGTACTGGCATAAAGACAGCCTATACATTAAGATACCATCTCACGCCAGTTAGAATGGCAATCACTAAAAAATCTGGAGACAACAGATGCTGGAGAGGATGTGGAGAAATAGGAACACTCTTTCACTGTTGGTGGGAGTGTAAATTAGTTCAAGCATTGTGGAAGACAGTGTGGCAATTCCTCAAGGATCTAAAAATAGAAATTCCATTTGACCCAGCAATCCCATTACTGGGTATATACCCAAAGGATTATAAATCGTTCTACTATAAGGACACATGCACACGAATGTTCATTGCAGCACTGTTTACAATAGCAAAGACCTGGAACCAAGCCAAATACCCATTGATGATAGACTGGACAGGGAAAATGTGGCACATATACACCATGGAATATTATGCAGCCATCAAAAACGATGAGTTTGTGTCCTGTGTAGGGACATGGATGAACCTGGAAACCATCATTCTCAGCAAACTGACACAAGAGCAGAAAATCAAACACCGCATGTTCTCACTCATAGGCGGGTGTTGAACAATGAGAACACATGGACACAGGGAGGGGAGCATCACACACTGGGGTCTGTCAGGGGGAAATAGGGGAGGGACTGCGGGGGGTGGGGAGTTGGGGAGAGATAGCATGGGGAGAAATGCCAGATGTAGGTGAAGGGGAGGAAGGTAGCACATCACACTGCCATGTGTGTACCTATGCAACAATCTTGCATGTTCTTCACATGTACCCCAAAACCCAAAATGCAATCGGTAAATAAATTTTTTAAAAAGACAGCCTATAGACCAATTGAGTAGAATAAGGAGTCCAGAAATAAGCCCTTTCGTATATGGCCAGATGATTTTCTACAAGGGTGGCAAGAACATTCAATAGGAAAGCAATAGTCTTCAACAAACAGTGCTGGAAAAACTGGTTATCCACATGAAAAAGAATTAAGTTGAACCCTTATCTAATGCCATATAAGAATTTACTCAAAATGGATCCATTACCTAAACATAAGGCCTAAAATTATAAAACTCTCAGGAGAAAACTTAGGACAAAACTTTGTAACATTGGATTTGACAATGATTGTTTGGATATGGCACCAAAGGCACAGGCAATGAAAGAAAAAGACAAATTGGACTTGATGAAAATTTTAAAAATTTGTTCATCAAAAGAGACCATCAGCAGAGTTAAAAGACAACCCACAGAATGGGAGAAAATATTTGCAAATCATATATCAGATAAGGGATTACTATCCAGAATATATGGAGAACTCCTAAAACTCAACAATAAGAAAGCAGACAACCTGATTCAAAAATGGCCAATAAACGCTCAATATCACTAATCATTAGAGAAATATAAATCAAAACTACAAAGAGATACCACCTCACACCCATTAGGATGGCTACTGTCAAAACTAAAACAGAAAAAAATGAGTGTTGGTGAGTATGTGGAGAAACTGGAACCCTTGTGCACTGTTGGGAATGTAAAAATGGTACAGCTGCTGTGGAAAACAATAGGGCAGTTCCTCAAAAAATTAGACAGAATTACCATGTGATCAAGCAACTCAGCTTCTGGTTATATACACAAAAGAACTGAAATGAGGTCTTAAAGAGAACATCAGTTGTATTAGGGTTCTCCAATGAAACAGATCCAAGAGTGTATACACACACACAAACACACACGTATATATGTATATCCCAATGGTAAAAAGTACAGGGTCTGAGTCAGAGGACAGAATCAAGAATGCTGATGTCCAAGGGCAGGAGAAGATAGATGCCCCAGTTCAAACAGGAAGAGTGAATTTGCTCTTCCTCTGTCTTTTTATTCTATTCAGGCCCTCAATGGAATGGATAATACCCACACACATTGGAGAGAGTGATCTTCTTTACTCAGTCTACAAATTCAAATGCTATTCTTTTCTGGAAACATCATCACAGACATACCCAGAAATACCATGTATCTTGACATCTCTTAGCCCAGTCAAGTTGACATGTAATGTTAACCATGATATCCATGTTTATAAGCAGCATTATTCATGATAGCTAAAATGTGGAAGTACTGCAAGTGTCTATCAACAGATGAATGGATAATCAAATTGTGGTATATACACACAAAGCATTAAGAAAGAAGGAAATTTTGATACATGCTACAACATGGATGAAACTTGAGTATATTATGCTAAGTGAAATAAGCCAGTCACAAAAAAACAAATGCTGTGTGATTCCACTTATATTGGGTACTTAGTCAAAATCATACGGAAAGTAGAATGGTGGATGCCAGAGACTGGGGGAGGTGGGAGTTATTGTTTAATGTTTATACAGTTTCAGTTTGCAACATAAAATTAAATCTGTAGGTGGATGGGAGCACATTACACATTTCTTTTTTTGTTTTTTGAGATGGGATCTCACTCTGTTGTCCAGGCTGGGGTGCAGTTTTTGTGATCATAGCTCACTGCAGCCTCAACTGCCTGGGCTCAAGTGATCCTCCCACCCCAGGCACCAAAGTATCTAAGACCACAGGTGCACACCACCACACCTGGCTAATTATTATTTTATTATTGTTATTATTATTTGTAGAGGCCAGGTATTGCTATGTTGCCTAGGCTTGTGTTGAACTCCTGGGCTCAAGTGATCCTCCTGCCCTGGCTTCCCAAAGTGCTGGGGTTACAGATGTGTGCCACCAGACCTGGCCAGAATGTATTTAATACTACTTAACTGTACACTTAAACATGGTTAGGCTGGACATGGTGCCTCACACCTATAATCCAAGCACCTGGGGAGGCCAAAGAGAGTGGCCTCCTTAGTAACATGGTGAAACCCCCTCTCTACAAAAAAATTAGCAGGGCGTGGCAGCATGCACCTGTAGTCCCAGCTCCTCTGGTGGCTGAGGTGGGAGGATCATTTGAACCCGGGAGGTGTATGTCGCCACTGCACTCCTGCCTGGACGACAGAGTGAGACCCTGTCTCAAAAAAAAAAAAAAAAAAAAAAAAAAGGTTAAGATAGTGAATGTTGTCTGTATTTTACTGCAATTTTAAAAATTGGAAAAAAATCCACATGGGTCACCAATTTACCAATTTAGCCATTTTCACCATTTTCAGATTGCATTTTCCTTCTCTATCTCAGCACTCCCACTAAAGGAAAGGCAAAATTTCTCACAAGAATAAATGATTCTCCAGTGTGGCTACTCCTGAAAGGAACAGTGAGACTTTTGTTACTTCGCCACAAGGCTGAGAAAGAAATAAACAAGTGATAAACGCCCAGACCCCTTCTTATTCTTTTCACATCCTGGTAATCTGAGGCATGGTATGGCTTTTACTCAAAGCATATGAATACTTAAAATCAGAAGCTGCCTCTCCTTTCCCTCACTTTATCATTATTGTTGTCATGTATGACAAGGGAGGGAGTGTCTCACTGGATGATATTTGGGGTTCTTTCTTCAGTAGTCCCACATACTGAGCATTTACTTGTGCTGTTCTTCATCTTTCACATCTACCACTTTTCGAAAGCCCCTGAGAGTCAGTAAGACATGAGATTCAAACAACTGCTTCACATCTAAGTATATGTCTTCAAAAATGTCTCGTTTTCCATATTTATGTCTGATGTGTTTTTTTGTGGCACAGTGGCATGTACTATATAGTTCATAAGTGAATCAATGTACATCTGTGGAGGGTGAATGCTCAGTTTTAGGTCTACACATGAAAGCTTTTTTCCAGGGCAAGAGCCTTGCTTTCTCCACCTAAGCCTTAATTACCCAAATGGTCATGTGTTGTGCCTTTGGCTTGTTGAAATGATACCAATTGGTAAAATCTGATGGGAGATAAAAGTTAAATATCCAGAAGCCTAAAAGTCAGGAAGAGAGGCTCTCTATGGCATTGAGAAAGCTGCAGAACTGCTCCATGGTGTGCAAAACTCATCAGCACATAAAACTACTGAGTAAAGATACTCACCTTCAACCACTTTGTAATTTCTACCTATTTACTTGGGGCCAATGTTCCTTATTCACCAAGATTCACATTGGTCCTTTTGACTGGTCCTCAGCCTGAGGAGGCCCCCAGGCATGCTAAACTGTCAGGCAGGGAAAGAGGAAAAGTTGGGAACCAGCCTTGGCTTAAAAGGGTTTTGAAAATGGAGGCAAATAATAACATTTTGGAAACATTTATATAAATATATAATTTCTGATTATAGAAAGGCTATAGGAGGCTCAGGAGAACCACTTAGAAGACTGGAAATGGTACCTATGGAACTTTGAAGACACTGACTACTGGTTCATAAATAAATGAGTAATTGGCAGTATCTGACTGGAGACAAGAATGAGCATTAATGTAGGATGATTCTGAACTACAGCTCCTGGCACTAGTAGGTTTCAATATACATAGTCTGCTGAAAGATAATTTTCTCTGTGATATTCCTGGTATCCCTAAGGAGGGTAGTATAATTTTAGGTACATGCTGACAAAATTTGAATACAAGGTTCTTAGGTGAAAGTTACAGTCCGTTTTAGACATGAAATTGAAGCATGCAGTCGCTATTGCTTTGGCAAAGGATTTTTGACTGATGCAGTGTATGGGTACCCATAATTTTATGATTTATCTTATCATATGGCACCTAATGTATTAGCTGACTTGTGAAAACAGTGTTTTGGTTTAATGGATGTTAGGGATTTATGTACAACTTCAAATTTGCCTTGTTAATAGTAGAAAAGAATAGTATGGAAGCATTACTTCCAGCTGCTTTTTGAAGGGTCCACCAAAATGAATGATTTTTTTCCTTTCTTCATGCAGATTTCCTCCTAGAGTGCCAAGATCTTTTCCATTCAACACCTCAGTCATGTACAAAAAGACTGTGTTTGTAGAATTCACGGATCACCTTTTCAACATCGCTAAGCCAAAGCCACCTTGGATGGGTAATAAAAACAACATTGAATGCTAATTATGAAATAGGGTATCTTATTTTCTATCACAGATTCCCCAATCTTGAGGTTGCAGTTAAAAAGGACAGCTGCCAAAAAGAATGTTTCCCTAACTGACACCTATAGGGAAATATACTGATTGCATTTTCTGTCTTTTTGCTGGGCCGTCTTCCTCTGCTTGGTCTATGCCAACTGCTTACCTCCACTTAGATGTCAAAGAAAGTATGTAATAACATGTTAGGATAGGACATATTCTGTCTTAGAATTGTTTCTGAGAATTATAGGTGGGAAGTACCCCTTATTCTAAAGAGAGGTATCACTCTATCAATTTAGAACTTGTTCAGGTAGTAGTGCAAAATTGGTTCTGCAACCCTTAGCCCCTGACTCACCTCCAGCCTTATATTAAAAAAGGCTAGGAACTTATGGAAGAGTTTAGGTTTGAGTATTACTTTGGAGAGCCTCTTTGGTGTTTTATGTGCTGCTTACCCCTTGTGGGGAGAGAGGCCTGTCCCTCATGTCAAGCTATAATGAAGGAGGCTTCAGGAGAACTACTTAGAAGACTTGAAAAGGTACCTATGGAACTTTGGAGACACTGACTACTGCCTGGTTTTTATCTGGACAACTTTTCAAGGTCAGAGGCCAAAAGGACTTCTGATGGAATAGCAGGGAGAGTGGGCTATAGTGGGAGCTAACTGCACTGCCATTGTTGGGTATAAGGCCAGGAAAGTCACTGAATGAGGCTTGTCTTACAAAGACTCTGCCTGAGAGGTCTTCCTGCCAGAGTTAGGTAACCCCAACAGAAAAAGTGTAGAAGCAGAATCTGAGAGGCGAGACACAAGTGACCAGCATGTAAGATCACGTACATATTGGGAGGCAGATCAGGTACATATTGGGTGTTTCTATATTGGGAGAGAGAGCTCTCCAAAGAACTTATAAGTTCCCTAAGAACAAAAGGCAGAATTTTGGTATGTGTCACAACTAGGGAGTACTAATGTCACATTATCACTGCTCCTTCCTAGAAAGACTTTGTCATTGTGCCTCTTTTTTTTAACCCCCGTTCCCTTTCTACTTGCTCCTCCCTTGGAGCTTTCCCACCTTCCTCTCCTAATCTTCCTCCACAACTCACCTTTCTGCCTCTGGACTCTCCAAAGGCAAGAAAAGAGATATCTCATATAATGTAATTAAAACCAGTGGTCCAAGAAAAATAAGGCTATTTTATGTTTTTATCCCACTAAATCCAGTTCATTCAATAAACTGTTTATAGGCATTTTATGCTTAGTGTATTCATAAAACAAAGCTCTTAATTTTCCTCTTGATTTTCTGTCATGGCCCGACTAACAACCCATGGTTTGACTCCTCTCTGTTTTTTTCTCTTTCTAGCATCATATCTATGACCAAGTCCTATTGACTGTTCCTCCAAAACAAGTTCCTCATCTTCTTCTTCTACTTCTTGTAAAATCCAAATTCCTGTAGGCTACAAGGTCCTACATATTATGTTTCCTTTGTAACCATATTTTCTGTTACTCCCCTGCTCATTCACTGTGCTTCAGCCACATTTTACTCAACTATACCAGGCTTATTTCTGCCTCCAGACTTTTGCATTTGTTTTATTTGCTTTCAATGCTCTTCCACTAGATCTTTTAAAAATCTTCCTTCATTCTCATTAGTGAGATCTCTACTCAAATGTCACCTCCTCCCAGAGGCCCTTCCTGATCATTACACTGAAAGTATCCTCTACCTCCTGCCTCATCATTTTCTAGCAGACACCCTCTTATAATATTTATAACAACTTGAAATGTTCTTATTTATTTCTTTATGTGGTTAATGTTTTAAGAATATGATCTCCATGATCTGCCTTGTTTGCTACTGCAACTCCAGCACATAAGACAATTCCTAGAATATAGTAGAAACTCTAGTTGAATGAATGAATGAATTGAATGATTGCCAGAAATCTTTTCCTCAGAGCAACCATGAGGTTGAGCTGGTGTTGGCAACAAGCAAATACTATTTTTTATCAATAATTACAGAGGCACGCTTCTCACTGTGACTTTGACGCTAACTTTTGTAATAACAGGTTTTCTGGAGTACTATCCCCAAGTGACCTTTGGTGGACATCTCATTCTTACAGGTCTGCTGGGTCCTACCATTCAGGCTGAGGTTTATGACACAGTGGTCATTACACTTAAGAACATGGCTTCTCATCCTGTGAGTCTTCATGCTGTTGGTGTATCCTACTGGAAAGCTTCTGAAGGTGAGTCAAATACCCTCCTATTGTCCTGTCATGCTAGGAATAGAAGAGTGAGATGTGTGTGCTTTGTAATGGTGGCACAGCTGGAGGTAGATCCATTCTCTTAAATACAAACTTACTGAAAAATAATAATAACAACAATAATGACTAACATGTATTGAGTTCAAGGTTGTACAGCTAGTAAGTGGTGGAACCAGGATTCAAACCTAGACCTATATAACTCCAGAACTTATACTTTGAACCACTGTGCTACAGTGCAAGCATTCATATAAATAATATCGAATTTCATTTATGTAACTGAAAACTTCCATGGAGTCGATCAAATATGGCTGGACTCAAGGATTCAAGGGATACTCTCAGCATTGTGGCCATTTTTCTCCCACCATCTCAGCTGGGCTACCCTTTTTGGTTTCATTCTCAGGCAGGCTTTTCTAATATGATGGCAAAGATAGCCACGGCAGCTCAAGGCTTATCTTGTTCTTACAGATTGTGACCCAGGGGTGGGAAGGAAGCCCCTATCCCAGTATTTCTTGATGTTGAGTGGAAGAGTTAGCAAGCAGGAGGAAGCATCAGTCTCACCCAATCCAATGACAATGGTAGAAGGACCAAAGTGAGAGACCTAGTCACTACAGTGGACTCTGTAACAAGGACATTGTTTTATGAAGCCCAGTAGAGTTGTAGTGTCCCGGAGTTAGTTATTCGAGAGGTTAAAGTTAATTTGCTTGCAGGGCATCTTTATTTGAGACAGACAACTGTATTTTTTTCTACCTGTATGAAAATATCTCTCTGAATTTCCAAATCTCCAAAATTTCTGCTTTACCTGGGTCACGCAGACCTCTTTAATACAAATGAACATGGTCTGGAGATTGATGTGGGCAAGCTAGAGTGCAAAACAAATTCCTATAGCTAGTATAGAAGTTGCTAGAGAGCAAACAGAGACATTTGTAGATCTCAATTTCATGTAATTCAAAACCTAGAGCAGTCAATAAAGGGTAGAAAGCGTAAACTCAGTACAACCACGCTCTGCCTAAGTCTCTGCTCATTTTTAGAAATTGAAAATTCTTTCAACTCTTTTAAGGTCCTAACTGAACATTATGTCTGTTTCTTAACAGTTACTAGAATATAAATATCTTAAGATAGGGACATCCATTTTATTTATTGCTATATCCTTAGCATACAACATATTGCCTACCCTATAGTGTATACTCAATACAAGAATGAGGGTGTAGTGGATACCAGTCACTTTTTCTTCCTAAAATTAAACATTCCTCACCTGTGTACCCCCTAGGAATTGCTTTTTTGAATGTACTTCAAATAGAGCCGGCCATTTTCTAATGCCTGTGCCTCCCTAGCAGTTGACATAGGTTTCCCATGTCCTTGGCCACAGTTGATCAGTCCAGAGATACGTACTTTACACAAGCTAGGCCAATGAGAGTACTTCCTCTAGCATTTTGAAACTTGCGAGAAAAAGGACCTACGGTTACCAGGTAATCCTATACTTAGGGGATGGAGCCCGAATATATGACAAAATCAAGATTCTACTACTTCATGGATAGGAGTCTTAAGGGGGTGTTGGTCTTGTCCTTTTTATAGTTGCCTAGCTCCTTACAGACATGGTGCATAGCTCAACATTGAGGACATTTTCCAAAGATTGGTGGAGAAAAGAGTGGCCAATACAATTTTATCTTTTTCTTTTCTGCTGACATCAGGGAGAGATAAAAGCTTTAAAATCACAATTATGGGGAGATAATATTTTTAAATCCAGCTCAAGTTAAACTCATCGGAAAAGGTAACAGGATCCCCAAATGGCCACATCTTATCCGATGAGGGGACACCAACCACAGAGTCTATACTAGACAGTTCAAGTGGTAGCCACAAGCTACCAGGCATTTGAGGTGTGGTGAGTCCTACCTGAGACATGCTGTAAAATATACACCAGATTTCAAAGGCTAAGTACAAAAAAGACTAAAAATATCTCATTCATTGTTTATAAGTACAAGTTGAAGTGCTTATATTTGGATATACTAGGTTAAACGAAATACATTATCAAAATAATTTCACCTGTTTCTTTTTACTTTTCTTGATGTGACTACTAGAAAATTTAAAATTATATATGTGGTTTGCATTATATTTATATCGAACAATACTCACCTGTACACTTCCAGTGAAATGTTTAGCATATGTTGAAGTTGCTGCTCCTGAGTAGTGGCTCATCTCAGATTTGGCCAAGTTCTTCTGTCCAAGGAAAACTAGGTCCAACCCATTCCTGGAGAGGAAGAGTCTCAAAGCTTTCTGGGCTGGGTCACTTACCTTGGTTAAATCTGTTCTCCACCTATTCTACCAACAACCAAGTAGATGGACATAGCTGAAATAAAAAATCACACAATCACAGTGAATGGTATCTCACCTCAAGTGGGACTTCAGCTTTGCCTGGCCATTGTACTGCTACACTTCCCCAATCCATTTACTCTCCCTCTCCCCAAGACATTCTTAGCCTTTCACAGAAACTCCAACATGGGGGCAGCCCCTGCCGCCACCACCACCTGAGTCTTGAGTCTTAGGAAAAAGGATATATTTTTCCTAATGAAATATTTCAAACAAAGATAGATACAGAAATTAATATAGCAAACAAACATGTGCCCATTATCTCACTTTGTGAAATCTTAACATTTTGTCATCTTTGCTTAATTTATTTTATGAAATTAAACATTTTACATACAGTCTGTACCCCTCCATGGGGCTAGCAGGAAAGGGCTCTCATTGTCAAAGTTCAAAGCAATTGATCATTCAAAAAATAATGATCACATTAAAAATAACCCTTATGTGGCTCCAGGGGTGCAATCGGTTAGCATGTGGTACTTATAAAAAGAACCCTTATATAATAGAGATACATATTTAAATACTCATAAATGGAATGATATCCTGTCTAGGATTGGCTTCAAATAAATCCAGCTGATGTTACAACCATTAGGGAATTGCTGATGTGGAATTTGACATTTGTATGGTGCCAAAATAGTATCCCAGAGATTTATTTCTGATTGTAAGTGGAAATCTTAACTTTAGAATGGAGGTATCAGGCTAATCCACAGGTCAATTTTAGTGTCACTAAGGGTGAGATGGCCATATATTATCTGCCCCTGATACAACACAATATGAGGGACTCTAGCTAGTTAGCCCAAAAACCTTGTTTAACTTGAATCTAACCAGAACTTAGGTACATTCAATAGCATGGGATATTCTACAGGACTACAAGCCAAATTTCTTTCACCAAATGAGTCACAAACAAGGGACTACTCCATACTAAAAGAGACTACCAGATGCAATGTGCAGTCTCAGGTTGGATTCTGATTTGGACTAACTAGCTAGAAAGGATGCCTTTGAGGCAATTAAGAAAATTTGAATATTGCATTGATATTAGGTGGTATTAAGAATTATTCTTAACTGGGTCAGGTGTGCTAGTGTCATTTTGTTTATGTGGGAAACTGTGTTTTTTTAAAGTTGACTTCTAAAGTATATAGGAGTGGACTACCATGAAATTTTTAATGTACATTAAAATGCATCATCATAAAAAGTGTGTTGAAAGAAAAAAGTGAAAGTAGCAATGCATTTCTAACATCCACTCACAAAAATATTACATTCTTTATATTAAGCACATGAAAAGGAATGCAGATATATCTTTTTAAAAACTTCGTTAAGGTTTTATTATAATCTTGAAAATATTTTATAGTTTTTTAGCCTAATATTAAGACTCGATAATTACTGAAAGTATATAAGAAAACTAGTGTAAAATTTAAACTTTTCAACACAAAAATCCCCATACAGTCATTTATATGCTAACAAAGGGAAGTTACAAAAATTAGCCTGTAGGAATCTCCTTTTCCTTGGAGAATATTACACAAGTTGAATGTTACACATTATTTTTCACTGGATACAAGATCAGTGTGATCTGCTTTATTAAAAGGAGAGAGCAAACCAATTTAAGATTCATGTCAAATTCCACCTCCTTCATAAAACATTACTGAAGAGTAGGAAGTTTGTTTACTTTTTTTATCCACTGGATTGCTATCTTGATCTTTATATTTTCAGCTTGTAGCTGAGCCTGGCAAAGAATAAGAATTCAGTAAATATTTGTGAATAAATAGGTGAATATTTCCACATGGTATTATAATTATATCTTTATAAGTCTATGTCCCCCACCAAACATGGTGTCATCCCTCTAGGAAAGAACCAAGTTTAAGAAATTTTCTTAAATCTTTCTTTCTTACCCTTCCCTGACCCTCATTAGTGCCTACCAAACAGTCTGTGTCAAAGTGTATTTGTTGTTGAAGTAGGCAAAAAGATGCAATAATGGAGGCAATTTTATTGTTTAACAGAATGTGGAGTTCTCCCCACTTGTGGCTGCTGCTTGTTAGTTTTTCAAATTAATATGCCAAAAGTCTGTTTCCTATGTAGAACCTGTTGGTGAGAATAAACTTGACATGTTTCTTTGAGTGGACAATGGGTATAGAAAGGACAATCTTATTTCTTCTTGATATAGGAGCTGAATATGATGATCAGACCACTCAAAGGGAGAAAGAAGATGATAAAGTCTTTCCTGGTGGGAGCCATACATATGTCTGGCATGTCCTGAAAGAGAATGGTCCAATGGCTTCTGACCCACTGTGCCTTACCTACTCATATCTTTCTCATGTGGACCTGGTGAAAGACTTGAATTCAGGCCTCATTGGAGCTCTGTTAGTATGTAGAGAAGGTAAGTGTATGAAAGGGTAGGACTGAGATGAAATAAGCAGAGAAGTACAATCAACTGAGTCTATTTAAACAGCTAGCATTTGTATTCCTTCACCTGAAAGAGGCTTCTTTACTCTAGTATCATGCTCATGGAAAGAATAATCCAGCTTCTGAGAGAAGCAGATATGCATTCTATATAACCACAATAAACTCTAAGCTTGGATTAGGAGCAACTGAGTTTCAGAATTAAGTCTCTCCTCTCAAAGCATTGCTGTTTTCCTCTTTGAATTTGTGGGCTTTATCAGTAGTGATTTCTACTATCCTCTGCTTTTGCAAACAGAGCTAAGTTCCTTGAAAGCTTTATGGAGATGAACACATCCAAGTGTGTGATCAATGGCATATAGACTAGTTCAGGTGGTTAGTTTGTCATCTGTAAACCAAAAGCATATAAAAATCTAAGAAAAATTGAGATACCATCTCACGCCAGTTAGAATGGCTATCATTAAAAAATCTGGAGACAACAGATGCTAGAGAGGATGTGGAGAAATAGGAACACTTTTACACTGTTGGTGGCAGTGTAAATTAGTTCAAGCATTGTGGAAGACAGTGTGGCGATTCCTCAAGGACCTAGAAATAGAAATTCCATTTGACCCAGCAATCCCATTACTGGGTATATATACAGAGGATTATAAATCGTTCTACTGTAAGGACACATGCACACGAATGTTCATCGCAGCACTGTTTACAATAGCAAAGACCTGGAACCAAGCCAAATGCCCATCTACGATAGACTGGACAGGGAAAATGTGGCACATATACACCATGGAATATTATGCAGCCATCAAAAACGATGAGTTTGTGTCATGTGTAGGGACATGGATGAACCTGGAAACCATCATTCTCAGCAAACTGACAGAAGAGCAGAAGATCAAACACCGCATGTTCTCACTCATAGGCGGGTGTTGAACAATGAGAACATATGGACATAGAGAGGGGAGCACTACACACTGGGGTCTGTTGGGGGAAATAGGGGAGGGACAGCGGGGGGTGGGGAGATGTGGAGAGATAGCATGAGGAGAAATGCCAGATATAGGTGATGGGGAGGAAGGCAGCAAATCACACTGCCATGTGTGTATCTATGCAACAATCTTGCATGTTCTTCACATGTACCCCAAAACCTAAAATGCAATAAAAATAAATAAATAATAATTTTTAAAAATCTAAAAAAAAAATCTAAGAAAAGTCAGCATTTATTTATATATGTTATTGAAAATTAATTTAGATTGAATTAATATATTCTAAAAATAATTTTAAACAAACATTTTTAATTTATATCTTAGCATAAATTATGGAAGTAAATTTTACATAATTTGGTTTTTTTGTTTGTTTATTCTTTTTTTTTTTTTTTTGAGACAAAGTCTCACTCTGTCGCCCAGACTGGAGTGCAATCTTGGCTCACTGCAAACTCTGCCTCCTGGGTTCAAGCAATTCTTCTGCCTCAGCCTCCCAAGTAGCTGGGATTACAGGCACATGCCACCATGCCCGGCTAGTTTTGTTTTTTTTTTGTATTTTTAGTAGAGACAGGATTCCACCATATTGACCAGGCTGGTCTCGAACTCCTGACCTGGTGATCTGCCCGCCTCGGCCTCCCAAAGTGCTGGGATTACAGGTGTGAATCACTGTACCCTGCCTTTCATCCTATTTTTTATGGTGAAATCAGCTTCACTGTACCTTTTTCTTGTTTCAGTTATCTTGTACTGCATAACTCCACTACTTAGTGGCTTAAAACAACAACAATCATTTATTATCTCTCATGGTTTCTGTGGGTCTCATGGAATTTGAGAGTGTTTTGACTTAGTGGTCTAAGTGTTTCTCATGAGGCTGTAATCAGTGGCCAGACTGAAATCATCCCAAAGGTAACTTTATTCACATGTCTTTAACCTTGGCTTGATGGCACTCTCCACATGGTCTCTCTCACATAGGGCTTACAGGGTAGCCAGACTTCTTATATGGTCCTGAAAGAGCCCATTAGAAGCTGTTTCACCTTCTAAGCTAACCTCAGAAATCACTCACATTAACATACATTTTATTAGTTAGAATGCATCACTAAGGCCAGTCTATAGAGGGGGATTCCAGCTTTTCATGGGGAATAGGCAAAACATTTATTTCTTTTTGGCAAAGAATTTATTAACAGGAGTCACCATACTCTTTCTGAATGGTGATGATGAATGTGATTCAAAAACCGATGGGAGCAAGGAGTGGAAGATGAGAAAGGTTTGTAGTTTATAACAGTTTCGAGTGAAAGTATGATTTCTCATATACTGGGTTCAGTCTCACAGTCATAACTAATGAGAAAGTGTCAAAGCCACAGTGTGTTATTTATGGAGTAAAAAGGCTAATGGAACAATGACATCATCAAAACATTACTGTTTACATATGACATATAAAGAAATAAGTTAAAAACCCAAATAACTCTTTGACACAGGGTTGAGTTAAAGAGTCAACAGAGGTTCTAGTTCCAGGTAAAATATATAAACGCACTCCACCCTTTATTTCCCATTGAACCTAACAATAAAACCTTGACAAACTGCTAAGCCCATATATTTAAAAATTCTAAAAAGCAAATAGAACAAGTATATAGAGAAAAGGCACCAGAATTCAAAGTATTACCCAACTGGTGGGGGATTATACCTTTTTCCCCACTCTCCTATTCCTTAATCTGAATGAAAACATAACTGGAAACTTGGAAGTGAGTACTGTGTTGCAAAGAGAGCTCCAGGAGAAACCCTCTAGGGTTTGAAGGAGTGGGAAAGGTAACTCTTTTTTAATGCTCAGAGAGCATGAGAGGGGAAATCCCCTAGGGTTTTTGTCTTCTTTTCCACCATTCTCTCCAGCTTCAGTTCCAGGTTGCTTGGGGCAATGACAGTGGCTGGCAACAGAAGCCTGCAAGAGCAAAAGCGTAGGGAAGGGCACATTATTCTTCATTCAGTACAGCAATGGGTCTAAGACACTGGGGCAAATGCAGGTTACTTTTCTCTCTCTCTTTCTTCTTCCGTTGCTCAGCCTTAGCTATCATGTAGTTGCGGGAGTTGGAAGTTTCTGGTTAGAAAACCAAAAAAGGGAGCTTACAAAAGTAGAAAGTTTATAGATAACAGAGAGTAAAGATCCCAGGAAAATAAACCCATAAAGTTGTGCATTAACTCCTGGATTCACCCCCAACCCACACATACCTGGATGAAACCCTAATTAGCATGCTGAAGACTGAGAACTGAGACTCAACTACCAGACTGACCACTGGGTTGGGCTCAATGGCACTGCAAAGGCTTTAAAACTGATCTAACACTGAAACCACAGCTCACAGAATTCCTTAAAACATGTCTGATGGGCCGGGCGTGGTGGCTCACGCCTGTAATCCCAGCACTTTGGGAGCCCTAGGTGGGTGGATCACAAGGTCAAGAGATCGAGACCAGCCTGGCCAACATGGTGAAACCTCATCTCTACTAAAAATACAAAAATTAGCTGGACGTGGTGGCACGCGCTTGTGGTCCCAGCTACTCGGGAGGCTGAGGCAGAAGAATCTCTTGAACCCAGGAGGCGTAGGTTGCAGTGAGCCAAGATTGCGCCACTGCACTCCAGCCTGACGACAGAGCAAGACTCTGTCTCAAAAAAAAGTCTGATGGTTGAGCACAAAGATAGAACATTGTGAGATAGGTTTTTTAATGTATGGTAGATATAATATATAAAAGAACCATAGCATAACAAGAGGAGGGTAAGGAAAGCTTTATGGTCCATTCAACTTAATTCCTTTTATTTTATTTTATTTTATTTTTTTTTCCCATTTATTTATTTTATTGCATTTTAGGTTTTGGGGTACATGTGAAGAACATGCAAAATTGTTGCATAGGAACACACGTGGCAGTGTGATTTGCTGCCTTCCTCCCCATCACCTACATCTGGCATTTCTCCCCTTGCTATCTCTCCCCAGCTTCCCACCCCCCACCCTCCCTCCCCTATTTCCCCCCAACTGACCCCAGTGTGTAGTGCTCCCCTCCCTGTGTCCATGTGTTCTCATTGTTCAACACCCAATTCAAACGGTAAAATGTTGATTCTAAGTGGATAGTGAAAAGTTAAGTATGAATTTTGTAATCTCTAGAGCAACCAATAAAAAATTATACAAGGAGATATAGTAAAAAAACACATAAACTAATTACAATGGAATATCAGAAACGTTCAAATTACTCAAAAGAAGGCAAGTAAAGAGAAATGAAAATCAGAGAGAAGAAGCAGGAAAATAATAATAAAATTATAGGCTAAAGTCTAAACATATCAATACTTATATTAAGTGCAAATGGCTTAAACACACCAATTAAAAACAGAGATTAGCACACTGGATAAAAAAACAATTATATTTTCTTTACGAGAAACTCATTTCAAAAAGAATGATATATATATATCATAAGTTGAAGTGGTACAAATCTGTGGTATAAGGATACACACAGAGACCAATGGAACAGAATTGAGAGTACAGAAATAAACCCATACACATATCTATGAGCAGTTGATTTTTGCCAAGGGTGCCAAAACCATTCAATGGGGGAAAAAAATAGTCTCTTCAATAAACAGTGCTGAAACAGGTGAATATCTGCATGCAAAATACAGATTGAGTATTCCTTAACTGAAATGCTTGGAACCAAAAATGTTTCAGATTTCAGATACTGGGATATTTACACATATATAATGAGATAGCTTGGGGATGGAGCTTAAGTCTGAATGTGAAATTCGTTTTGGATGTAAGTCCCTTGCCAGTTATGTGAGTGGCAAGTATTTTCTCCCACTCAAAGTTTGTTTTTTAATTCTCTTAACGGTGTCGGACAAAACATGAAAAGATATTCAACATCATGAACCATTAGGGAAATGCAAATTCACACAAGAGTAATATATCTATTAGAATAGCTAAAATAATAATATAAAATTGCCAAGGATGCTGTCAAGAAATCAGAGCAGCAGAAAGTCTCATAATGCACAGTGGTATAGCCATCCTGGAAAACAGAATGGCAATTTGTCTGTTTGGCAAAAAAACACTCTGGCAGTTTCTTATAAAATTAGATGTACACTATAACGGGATAGCAGGAGGGAGTTCTTTTTGGATATTGAAATGGATCTGTACCTTGCTGACGGTGGGGTTTCATAAGCTTATATCTTTTTTAAAAGTGATTGACATATACACCAAAAGAAAAAGAAAAGCTAATTTCGCTATATGATAATATAAAATTTATATTAAAATAATTAAAATGTTTTAAGACAGCTTTTTATATATTTTAAATTTGTCTCTAAAGTTTTTAATCCAGTACTTCTGATAAAGATGGCACAGGGTCTTCCTACTTAGCCATTTTTCCATCCTCCACCTCAACCCTGACCTCTGCTGAAAAGCAACAGCAAAGATAGGTAAACCATAAATAGAGAAAGTTGAAAATGCATGGTCAAGCTGAAAAAGAACATAAATATATGTGGACCAAAAGCAGAACAGGAACTGTGAGTAGCTAAAGAGGTGGAAATCACAGGCCAACTGAGATCTGGGTCAGGGTGACAAGAGTAAATAGAGCTCTCCACCAGAAGGACCTGGAACCAGGTGGACTGAGAGCCCATATCATAGCGTTGGGCTCCTCTTCACTTGAAAGAGAGCTGAGCACAGCTGCTGCCTACTCTTTGTTTGCGGCCATGGCTTTGTGGAAACTCAGGGACCTAGAAGAGGGGAAAGCAAACCCAGTCCTAGAATAAGAACTGAACTAAATTTTCTCTTGGTTCAGTGGGAGAATCTGCAATATCCCCAAGGTTTCCATTGGGCAGTATCTCCAAAATTCCATTCTAGGGTGTGATTTGCTAGATAGAGAATAGTGAACACATCTTTTGCTTAATCAACCAATGATCACAAGGGACAGCAAAGATCACTATAGTTCAACAAAGTCAGATTTATTGGTTCATAGCAACAAGAGACTGTGGACACCTCCCTAAACAAAGGGAAATACTGTATTCAGTTAGTAAAGAATTTTGGGGAAGGGTGGAGGTTAGATGATATTTAAATGAAGCAAAGTAGAATTATGTGTAAAGAAATAACCATGAGATCTAGACTGTGAAGTGTCCTGGTTCCATGGAAACTAAAAAGTTAACATGGACATGAAATGTTAAGTGAAGGCACCCCTTACCTGAAGCTTGAGCTTTAAGTTGAGCTGCTTCTTTGTGTCAAAGTAATTTAGATGACCTAGGAAAGAATGGGATGTTTCATTCTTATTGCTATTATTTTGAACATTTCTGACAGGCCCTGAAAAAAGAGAACAAACAACTCAGTTGAGCGACAGATTATTAAAGAAAACAGTTGACATTCAGTTAGTTTGTGCAGTGGCAATGTGTCCTTGGGAGAAATACTGTTAACTCTGCAGTTAGCTTTATCTATGTCTCCTATCCCAGCCTGATGAGTAGCAGCACACATTTTGTTACTTTCTTAGTCCAAGCTAATTTTTATTTCTTTTATTTATTTATTTATTTTACTTTAGGTTCTGGGGTACATGGGCAGGTCATGCAGGGCTGTTGCATAGGTGCATACATAACCAGGTGGTTTTCTGCCTCCATTCCCCCTTCATCTATATCCAGCATTTCTCCCCATGTTATCCCTCCCCACCCTCCCCACCCCCAGCTGTCCCTCCCCTAGCCCCCCCAACTGACCCCAGTGTGTGATGCTCCTCTCCCTGAGTCCACGTTTTCTCATTGTTCACCACCTGCCTGTGAGTGAGAACATGCGATGTTTGGTTTTCTGTTCTTGTGTCAGTTTGCTGAGAATGATTTGGTACGTGAGAGAAAGAAATGAAAAATGTCATAAACAAAAATCTTTCTACTCAAAATAAGCCTGCAAACAAAAGTTCCCAGTCAAATTAAAATATATATAATGCAAAGAAAGATACTCAACAAGCTCAACAGTTAAAGCATGAAGCATGATAGTTTGTTCCATTAAAAACTTTAGCTATTGCTATAGGTGGTATTCACTTAAAATGTAAGTATATATAGAAGCACTGTGGGCTAGTGAAAAAAACATCGTGAGTATAGGTGTTCAATGTGGACAATTGTTATTTTACTCAAAACTTTTTTTTTTTTTTTTTTTTTTTTTTTTGAGACGGAGTTTTCGCTCTTGTTACCCAGGCTGGAGTGCAATGGCGCGATCTCGGCTCACCGCAACCTCCGTCTCCTGGGTTCAGGCAATTCTCCTGCCTCAGCCTCCTGGGTAGCTGGGATTACAGGCACGCGCCACTATGCCCAGCCAATTTTTTTTGTATTTTTAGTAGAGACGGGGTTTCACCATATTGACCAGGATGGTCTCGATCTCTTGACCTCGTGATCCACCCGCCTCGGCCTCCCAAAGTGCTGGGATTACAGGCTTGAGCCACCGCGCCCGGCCTACTCAAAACTTTTAATTTACAGTTGCAGAAGTGAAAAAAAGTTACAAGAGTAATAGAAATTCTCTATATTAATTGCCTATATGCACATTTTTTTCAGAAGCAATGTGTACTGTTGCTGTAATTTTTCTTTGTGATGTGCGTGTGTGTGTGAAGGCTTGTATTTTGTATGTGTTTTTAATCTCTTTTTTAGTAATTAATTTGTATTGTGTTTTACATAAGTAGTAGTCTTCAGCAAATTTGGAAAAAAAAAATTCTTTGCTACAGGCTGTTTTAGAAACACTAGTATAGGAGACCTGAGATCAAAACAACAAAGCAAAGTTAAGAAGAGACAGAAGACAACATTTGTTCTTACTCTCAAGTAACTGATGAAGACATGTCTCATCCTAGTGACAATTTCCTAGAGTGGAATTTTTTAAATAGAAGATAAATGCTCTCACTTCTTTTTCAGGGAGTCTGGCCAAGGAAAGGACACAGACCTTGCACAAATTTGTACTGCTTTTTGCTGTATTTGATGAAGGTTAGTGAGTCTCAATCTGAATTTTGGATTCCTGAAATAAATCCTCTGCTACTATTAAGAGGAGGTGATTATAGAAAGCTTGTAAACTACATTACTGTTCAGGAATGAAGGAGATGGGGTTGAAAATGAATTCCAAGAGAACAAAATGTAACCTCAGTTCCATTGGAAGCTATGAGGTAAGAAGATAGAGGAGCTGGGTGACAGAGTGCCCTCATCCCCCTCATTAAGACCATCAACAAATACTTTGGGCTCTACTTTCTAAATAATTTCTCTTATGTTCGTCTATTATTAAGTGGACAACCTTTGGCAAGTTATTTAACGTCTCTGTGTCTCAGTTTCCTCAAATCTAAAATAAAAATAATAGTACGTTTTTCATAGGATTGTTGTGAGGACTGAGTGATTTCATTTAAGTAATTTTAATTTAATTAAGTGTCGCATAGAGTAGGCCCTCAATAGTGTTAGTACTTCCACCTCTTCCTCCTCCTAATGTAATCATTATGTAATCAATAACAATAACATAATCTTCTTGCCCCTCTTATCCATTTACATTGCCATCATCTTAATTGAGACCCTCATGATATGTGTCATAACTCCCAAAGGAAGCTTCCTGAAGTGAGTATCTGATCTTCTCACTCTAGCCTCTAAAATACTTCAGTTTGCCAGGTACGGTGGCTCACACCTGTAATCCCAGCACTTTGGGAGGCTGAGGCGGACAGATTGCTTGAGCCCAGGAGTTTGAGATGAGCCTGGGCAACAGGGTGAAACCACATCTCTACAGAAAAATTACAAAAGTCAACCGGTCATGGTGGTGGATGCCTGTAGTCCAGCTACTTGGGAGGCTGAGGTGAAAGGATCACTTGAGCTGAGGAGGTAAAGGTTGCAGTGAACTGTGATTGCACCACTACACTCCAGCCTGGTTGATAAAGCCAGACCCTATCTCAAAAAACAAAACAAAACAACAAAACAAAATCATTCATTTTCCAGGTAACGTGCATAATGCATTATCTATTTCCTGGTGACATTTCCAGCCTTGATCTGTTCCGTTTCCTGCCTTATCTTCCATGTCACCCAAATATGTGATGCTTTTTCTTGCATGAGACCTCTGCTCACACAAAGGGGTAACTCCAGGGAGTCACTGTCCAATAGTATTTCTAGTGCTTCAGCCCTTGTCAGTTTCAAAGGTGGTCTCAGGAAGCTTTCAGGGTCCTGGGGTTTCATAAAGACAAGCTTGGATGAAGCAATTATAACAGAGACAGGGAGTGACAAACAGCCTTTTTCCTAGGACAATTTTCTTTTTTTCTGATGGAGTCTCACTTCATCGCCCAGGCTGGAGTGCAGTGGCACAATCTTGGCTCACTGCAAACTCCACCTCCCAGGTTCAAGCAATTCATCTGCCTCAGCCTCCTGAGCAGCTGGAATTACAGGCGCCTGCCACCATGCCTGCCTAATTTTTGTATTTTTAGTAGAGATGGGGTTTCACCATGTTGGCCATGCTGGTCTCGAACTTCTGACCTCAAACTATCTGCCTGCCTTGGCCTCCCAAAGTGCTAGGATTACAGGTTTGAGCCACTGTGCCCAGCCCCTGGGATGATTATCATAAGCTTCCTTTTAAATAAGACAGCTAATAAACAGAATCGATTCCTTATGCCTCAAGCTAACCAATATTCTCTCTTCTTCTATTATTATTCATTCCCACTTATTGTCATGGTCAAATAGAGGGAGAGAAAATCAGTTTGAGCAAGAGATGTCTGCCTTTAGATAATTGTCTTCTCCCTCCCTCTCACTGACTTGAGAGGATAAGTCGTGTGTGCCTACTTTGCTGACAAAAATGCTGAAGGTGTGAGCAGACTGTGAGGAAGGAGAAAGCGGAGGAGGGGGTCATTCATGAGACACATGCTTAGCTGACTCTATCTTTGCCTTCTCTCTCATCAGGGAAAAGTTGGCACACAGAAACAAAGAACTCCTTGTTACAGGATAGGGATGCTGCAGCTGCTCGAGCCTGGCCTAAAATGCACACAGTCAATGGTTATGTAAACAGGTCTCTTCCAGGTATGTACACACCTGCTCAACAGTCCTCAGGGTCTTCCGAATTCAGCACCAGAGTTCTCCACCTTCTTGGCTTCCCTAGGAGGAGACTTGTCCTTGCCTTAAACCACACAAAACATCATGACTGTCTGAAGGCAGACATAACCCAGAGGATAGACAAAGACAAATGAGGCAGGAAGGACTACCATCCCAGCCCTGGAAACTCTATGAGGCCGTTAAGCAGAACCATGCTGTAGCAGGCTTATCCTACAGGTCACCTGGGCACGAACCCCTAGCCAGCCTTCCAATACTGCTAAGATAATCCGTTTGGGACCTCACCCACTTGGGACAGGCAGGACTCTGACCCACTTGCTAGAGCTGAGGCGAACCTGGACGCAGGTGCCACCTAGAGCCAAAAAAAGGGCAGTGACCTAGGAGTGAAGATTCACTGAGCAAATATATCCAATAAAACAAAAACAAGCTAGACAGAGAAAACTGACATAAATAACTAATCCTTCAATGTAAACGCATAGATGTATATCCACAAGAAACAATAGCAAAGAGGGAACCATGAGCTTCCCAAAAAGACAAAGCCAAAACCCAGTGACTGACCCTAACAAGATAGCGATTTGTGAGCACTCTGATTAATAATTCAAAGTAGCAATTTTAACGAAGCTCAATGATACCTAAGATAACACAGAAAAGTGATTCAGAAATTTCTCAGAGAAATTTAACATAGAGATTGAAACAATAAAAAAGAAACAGAAATCTTGGAACTGATAAATGCATTTGATGAACTGAGTAACTCATAAGAGAATCAAGCAGAGGAAAGAATCGGTGAGCTCAAAGACTGGCTACTTGGAAATGCAGAGTCAGAGAATAAAAAGGAAAAAGAACAGAAAGAAATGGAGATCTCCTACAAGAAGTAGAAAATTACCTCAAAAGACCAAATCTAAGAATGTTTGATGTACAACAGGGAGCTGAGTAAGAGCAATGGGTGGAAAGCTGAGTAAGAAACAGTAACAGAAAACTTCCTGAAACACGAGAAAGACATAAATATCTAGACACAAGAAGGTCTTACAACACTAAACAGATTCAACCCAAATCAGACTGCCCCAAGGCAAATAATAATCTAGTTCTCAAATGTCAAGGATAAAGAGAGGATCCTAAAAGCAAGAGATAAGAATCAAATCACATATAAAGGACCTCTAATTTTCCTGGTAACAGACTTCTCAGTGAAAACTATACGGGTCAGGATGGAGTAAAACAACATTTTTAAAGTGTTCAAAGAAAAAACCTACAAATTTTGTATCCAGCAGAATTATTCAAATATGCTAGAGAGAGTAAGTCTTTTCCAGACAAACAAAAGCTGAGAGAGTTCACCACTACTGGGCTCGTCTTGCAAGAAATGCTAAAGAGTTCTACAATCTGAAAAAAAAAAGAATACTAACATGCAAAAGAAAATTTTTCATGTATAAAAACTACTGGTAGGTAAACTTTTACCAGTAGGTAAAATTAAATACATGGACACACTCAGAATACTCTATTATTTGTGGTGTGCAATCCAGTTATAACTCTAGTATGAAGCCCAAAGGATAAATCTATCAAAAACTATAATAATTACAGCAACCTATTACGATATAGGTAATATAAAAGTATGTAAATTGAGCAACTAAAAGTCAAAATGTGAGGGGTATGAAGTTAAAGTGTAGATTTGTGTGTGCGTGTGCGTGTTTTCTGCCTTTGTTTCTATTCTTTTTTTGTGATCTAAGATAAGTCTTCATTTCTTTAAATTTGCTTGTTATATCTATGAGATGTGTTTTGTAAGCCTCATGGTAATCACAGCACAAAAACCTATAAGAGATTCACTAAAAATAAAAAGCAACAGATTAAAACATGTTACCAGAGATAATCACTCAGCCACAAAAGAAGACAGTAAGAAATGAAGGAAGGAAGAAAGGAGTCCCAAAACAACCAGAAAACAAGCAACAATGTGGCAGTAGTAAGTTCTTACTTATCAATAATTGCACTGAATAGAAATGGTCTCAGTTCTCCAATTAAAAAGCATACAGTGAGCCCGGCGTGCTGGCCCACGCCTGTAATCCTAGCACTTGGGAGGCCGAGTGAGCAGATCACCTGAGGTCAGTAGTTTGAGACCAACCTGGCCAACATGGTGAAACCTCGTCTCTACTAAAATTACAAAAAAACTGGCCAGGCGTGGTGGTGCACATCTGTAGTTCCAACTACTCTGGAGGCTGAAGCAGGAGAATCACTTGAATCTGGGAGGCAGAGGTTGCAGTGAGTGGAGATCGCGCTACTGCACTTCAGACTGGGAGACAGAGTGAGACTCCACCTCAAAAAAAAAAAAAAAAGAAAAAGAAAAGAAAAAAGCATAGAGTGGCTGGATGGATAAAGAAACAAGATTCAACTATATACTGCTTTAAAAAAAACATTCTACACCAGCAAAGACACACATAGACTGGAAGTGAAGATATTCCATGCAACTGGAAAGCAAAAAGGAGCAGAAGTAGCTATACTTATATCAGATACAATAGGCCACAAACCAAAGACTGTAAAGAAAAACAAAGAGGGTCACTATATAATGATAAAGGGGTCAATTTAGCAAGAGGCTATAACAGTTATAAATATCTATATACCCAAAACAAGAGCTCCCAAGTATATAAAGCAAGCATTAATAGATCTAAAGGGAGAGATAGATTGCAATACAATATTAGTAGGGGACTTAACACCCCAGTCTCAGTAATGGACAGATCATCCAGACAGAAAATCAATAAACAACGGAGTTAACGCTACACGCTAGATCTAATAGTCCTAACTGACATTTACTGAACATTTTACCTAACTGCTGCAGAATACACATTCTTTTCATCAGGACACAAAACAGTTTCCAGAATACACCATATCTAAGGTCACAAAACAAGTCTGTAAAAATTCAAAAAAATAGAAATTGTATCAAGTATCTTTTCTGAGCACTGTGAAATAAAACTAAAAATCAATAACGAGGAACCTCAGAAAATACATAAAAACACAAAATTAAGTGACATGCTCCTGAATGGCCAATGGGTAAATGAAGGAATTAAGAAGTAAATTTTAAAATGTCTTGAAAAAAATGAAAATGGAGATACATCACACCGAACTCTAAGGCATACAGCAAAAGCAGTACTAAGAGGGATGTTTATAACAATAAATGCCTATATAGAAAAAGTAGAAAGACTGCAAATAAACAACATAATGATGTACTTCAAGGAACTAGAAAAGCAAAAAGGAAACAAATTAGTAGAAGGAAATACATAAGGGTCAGAGAAGAAATAAATGAAATTGAGAGTAAAAAATATTTAGAAGATGAATGACACAAAAAGTTGGTTTTTTGAAAAAATAAACACAATTAAGAAATCTTTAGCCAGACGACTATGAAAAAAAGACATAAGGATCAAATAAATAAAATCAGAAATGAAAAAGGAGACATGACAACGGAGACCTCAGAAATACACAGAATCAGTAGAGACTATTATGAGCAACCATATGACAACAAATTGGAAAACCTAGAAGAAACAGATAAATTTCTGGATATGTACAACCAACCAACATTGAACCATGAAGAAATAGAAAACCTCAACCAACCAATAATGAGTAATGAGATCAAAGCTGCAATAAAAAGTCTCCCATTCCGTGCCCCCCCCAAAAAAATCCCAGGATGTGATAGATTCACTGCTGAATTGTACCAAACATTCAAAGAAAAACTAATACCAGTCCTACTCAAACTCTTTGAAACGATTTTAGAGAAAGAATCACTTCCAGCCTAATTAAACATGGCCAGCATTACCCTCATACAACAATAAAAAAAGAAAACTGCAGGCCAATATCACTGATGAACATAGATACAAAAATCCTTAACAAAATACTAGCAAACATAGATACAAAAATCCTTAACGAAATATTAGCAAACTGAATTCGACAACACATTAAAAATATAATTCACCATTATCAAGTGGGATTCATCCCACAGATACAGGAATGATTCAATGGCACAAATCAATACATGTGATACATCATATTAATAGAATGAAGAACAAAAACGATATGATTATTTCCTTTTTTTCTTGTTGTTGAGACAGTCTTCCTTGGTCACCCAGGCTGGAGTGCAATGGTGTGATCTCGGCTCACTGCAACCTCTGCCTCCTGGGTTCAAGTGATTCTTGTGCCTCAGCTTCCCGAGTCGCTGTGACTACAGACAGAGGCCACCACACCCAGCTAATTTTTCTATTTCTAGTAGAGACAGGGTTTCACCATGTTGACCAGGCTGGTCTTGAACTCCTGACCTCAAGTGATCTACCCACCTTGGCTTCCCAAAGTGCTAGGATTACAGGCTGATTATTTCAATCGATTCTACAAGCCATTTGATAAAATCAACATCCTTTTATGATGAAAACTTTCATCAACATGAATATAGAAGAAACATACCTCAAAATAATAAAAGTCATTCATGAGAAACACATGGCTAACATTATACTGAATGTGGAAAAATCAAATGCCTTTCCTCTAAAGACTCGAATAAGAGAAGGATGCCTACTTTCACCGCTTTTATTCAACATAATTAGTGGAACTCCTGTACTCCTGCACACAGCAGTTAGGCAAGAGAAGTAAATACAGGACATCCAAATTGGAAAGGAAGAAGTCAAATTATTTCTTTTCTTTTTTTTGTTTTGTTTTGTTTGGGACAGAGTCTAACTCTGTCACCCAGGATGGAGTGCAGTGGGCACAATCTCTGCTCACTGCAACCTACACCTCCCAGGTTCAAGCGATTCTCCTGCCTCAGCTTCCTGACTAGCTGGGATTACAAGCTTGCGCCAAAACACCCAGCTAATTTTGTATTTTTAATAGAGACAGGGTTTCCCTATGTTGGCCACTCAAGTCTTGAACTGCTGACCTTGTGATCTGCCTACCTTGGCTGCCCAAAGTGATGGGATTATAAGCGTGAAGCACCATGTCCGGCCATCTACATA